TCTTTTCCTTGCAGAACAAATATGCAGGGGAGGTTTAGATCGGAACACAGCAACAGGGAAGACTGTGGTGTGCTTTGGTTTTAATGGGTTCCTGATTTTGGGTCGTACTTATGGCAAACACAAATATGTGGGCTGTGTTTTTTATATGAAATAAGTGGCGTTTTGATTAATATAGAAAGATAAATTAATGGATGCGATTGTAATTTATCATTTTAAAATAATTAATATAATTATAATTAATAATTAATTTTTGAGTGTGAACACAGGCGTATAGTGTACGCCTGTCGTACGCTAGCCTGAACCATGTATGGTATATATATATGGCAAAGGCAAAGGCTAGCATACGCTCGGGCGTACCCTAGCCTACCGTACGCCCGTTGAGTGTTGCTATTTAGACAATGAATTAACCGAAGTTTGGGGCATGATACTATACCCTAACCCCTAATGGGTGAACCCCAGTCCGCAATTCACTAACCCAAAGCATAATATTCATTTAATCTTGAAATGAAAATCAACGATTCTGATTCGTCGAAATTATTGTTGATTTTCATTTTAAGATTAAATGAATCTCATGATTTGGGTTAGAAAACTAGGGGCTGGGGTTATCCATTAGTGGTTAGGGTATAGTATCATGCCAAAAACTCCGATTAATTCATGATCTAAATAGCAAAACTCAAACGGGCGTACGTTAGTCTAACGTACGCCCGGGCGTACGCTAGCCTGAACCATATATGTATATGTTTGTGAGCTGATCGGCTGATGTATATGTGAAGAAGAATAAAAACCTAATAAATTATAGCGAAGACTCCTTTGCGAGTCTTTCGTGGATTAGTCTCGTTCTTTCTAACGAGGATATCATGTAAAATCTTGCGTGTTTTTTATTTATTTCATGGTATCAGAGATGTGAGTTGATCATGGCTTCTGACGATGAAAAGATGAAATCTCCACGGACGGAGACGTTGACGAAGAGTACCACTCGTGGCAGCGGAGAAGGTTTTCCTCCGGCTTTTGCTCTTTCTAATTCTGATAGTCCCAACCAGCTGTTTGTTGGGGAAGTTCTCACTGACACCGACTATGGAGTGTGGCTCGGTGATATTACAGATTCCTTTATTTCTAAGAACAAGATGGGTTTCGTCGATGGCTCTATCCCTAAGCACAACGACGGGGTTCTTCTGGAGCAATGAAAAAGGTGCGACGCTATGGTCAAGGGTTTGTTGAAAATGGCTATGAGTAAGGAGCGGTTATTCCATTAATGTGAGGGTAGCAATATATTCTTATTTTTCGTAGGTTTTCTTATTTCACCATCCCACCAAATACAAAGTGTAAATTTTTTAACCTTATGTACAATTAAAAGCTAATAATAACATAAACATAATTTAATATGTTTGAAATTATTATCGTTCTAATTTGGGAAAATTTAGGTTCTATTTTTAATTGAACATACAATCTAAATTATAGCCCTGATCTAGCCATAATGTAAATTCCAGTGCGTTAGGTTCTAGCCTTAATCAAAAGTTACCGAGTACTAACCTTCTCGGATGGGTTAGCATGCTAACCCCCTAAGGGGTTGGAAAAATGACACCCCCTAGTGTATTAAATACAACTATAGAATTTAATACACACATTAAATACACATTAGGAATTAAATTCACCATATTAATTATTATCTTTTTTTTTCAAATTAAAATCTACACTAAATATATATATTCTCTCTCCCTATATTTGATTTTTCCTTTTTCAGCAGCCTTTGACCACCAGACTTCCTCCGACCGCCACACTTCTCCGGTGAAAATCTCATCGGCAGACTCCCTCCGACCACCTGCAAAAAATATACCACTGCACTGATACGTTGTACCACTACACTGGTATCTATACCACTGCACTGGTAGTGATATCAGTGCACTGGTACCAATGTCATATATGAGTATCAGTGCAATGGTACAAATACCAGTGCAATGGTACAAATACCAGTACAGTGGTACAACATATCAGTGCAGTGGTATATGTTCGCAGGTGACCGGAGAGAGTCTGTCGGCGGATTTTACCGGCGAAATGTGGTGGTCGGAGGAAACTTGATGGTCGGAGGCTGCTCGAAAAGGAAGAATAGAGATAGGAGAGAGAAAGATCAAAGATGAGAGAGATAATTGATTTTTGTATATGTTTAGATTTTATTTAAAAAAAGAGTAATTAATGTGGTGTATTTAATGCTTATTTGTATTTAATAACAGAATATTTATTATGGTTACTTTCATTAATACTAGTCAATAATTAATGAAAAATTGATCAATTAACAAGGGGTGTCATTTTTCCAACCCCTTAAGGGGTTAGCATGCTAACCCATCCCTAACCTTCTCGATGGATAATATACATTAATTCACTACCAACACTTATGAAAATGAATAAAATATAATCAGTAAAAAATTAAATCTATACAACCAAGATGAGTGGAATGTAATGACTAATTTAGTATTTATGTGAGTAGTGAAAAGGGGAAGGTAGATATAAAAGCGAGAGAGGATGAGTAATCACATTGTAACCTGTCACATTCCCTTGTGACAATATAACTTTTATCGATTTTCTGAATAGTTGGTGACCAGGGGCAGAACTAGGTGGAGGATAAGAGAGTATTGAGACATCACTGAAATTTGAGAGAAAAATTAATTAACCTCGTTAGTAATTTGAGTATGGAAAAAAAGGAAAAAATATAAATGGAAGTATATGTTATTCGAATCTATAATAAAGTAGTTATTTGTAAACATTTTTTCTATTTTACTACCGTTCATTTGTAGTTGTAATTTTTTCATAAAAGTAATTATAAACGTGTAGCTCTTATCATAGATTTTTTTTTCTAAGCCTAAAACTAACCTTAGATTTTTCCCCACCGTATTCTAATTTCTAACACAATTTATCTTGAGAGTTTGGTTACCATTATGATTCTTTTCTTCTACTGGATTTTGAGAATTAATACGATTGTATTAAAAGTGATGAGTTATTTTATGGATTAAAATGAACTATTGAATTAGCTGAGTTGACTGTGGAGACAAAATTGAATCTTTCATATCCATGAATATTATATATTTGCTCTTCAAGTTCTATTGAATTTACTAGTTGCAACTTGAAATGTTGAGAGAGATTTTACACTTTTGGGTTACATCAAGAACATGTTTCAGAATTGAATAGGTGATTCCTTCGTGAATTATTGTCTAGTATGATATTTTGCAAAAAGTTTGTTGAGTATTGTAGACCGTGTTAACACGTTCCAACATCACATGCTGCCGAGATTATTATTATTATAAAAGTGATGGGAGACAGTGGTAGAAGGATCGGCGTGACGGTGGATTTCACCCTTGCGACATCAAGGCTCTGAAATGGGCGTTCGACAATGGATCGGGTTTGGTGATGTGGCGGGTTAAAATTGGGTGAGTCAGCACTTCTGTTAGACATTTCAGTTGACGGAGATTAAGGGTGACTATACGGTCCGGTCCGGTTAAATTGGACCAAATTGATTCGGTCCCAGTCCGGTCTTTTCGGGAATATAAGGACCAAAGATTGGATTGGATACAATCCGGTCTTGATCCGGTCCGGTCTTGACCCGATCCGGTCCTAATTTGATCTTGATTTTAGGTGTTGGGGGTCTCTTATCCGGTCTTTATCCGGTTTTTTACCTCAAATCTAAGCCCGAATATGAGATTGGATTGTTTGCTATCCGGTCCCAGTCCGGTCCCGATCCGGGTTATACGGTCCGGTTTCGGGTAAAACCAAACAGTCCCGGACCAAATTGCTAGCCCTAACGGAGATTGACGGAGAGTAAAGGAGAGTGACTAAACGAGGACCGTTTTACTAATTCGAGTGATCAACATTGAAATTAAATATTTCGAGTGATTAAACAGGCTCAAGATAGGGTGAGTAACAATGAGTAACCAAATCTGGACCCTTCTTTTAAGTGACTGCAGATCTAAGGGCGGAGAATTAAAGGAATTTATTTTCCCTAGTTTTCTTAATTGGATCATATCTTCTTCATTCTAACTCGGATTTCAAAATTTTTTTTTTGCACAGATAGAACGAGGTCGTTGTGCACTACAAAAGGATATCCATTTTCAATATTTTTTTAGAAAAAAAAATTTCATCCCTCTCGTTACCAACTCTATACCATATGGTATCTCCTTCGTTGCTTAGTCATTTTCAGAAATTTTTGCACAAAAGGAACGATTTAATCATTGATCTATTAGATTTCAAAATTTTCTGGGGGAAAAAATTTCAAACCTCTCGTTACCAACTCCATACCATACTATATCACCCTGGTATGAGGTGGTATTTTTCATACCATATGGAATGTTGTTATTTAATACCATATGGTATTGACTGGTATTAAATAACAGCATATGGTATTGACTGGTATTTTTCATACCATATGATATGCTGTTATTTAATACCAGTCAATACCATATGGTATTGACTATACCATATGGTATAGACTGGTAATAACTGACAAAATTTTTTTGTTCCAAAAAATATCAAAGTGGATATCATTTTGAAGAGCACAATTAATTTGATCTAACTTTGCAAAAAAATTAAATTTCGAGTTAAAAACAAGTGAGAAATCGTCCGTTAAAAATTAAGGGAAAGAAAATTAATAATTTTTCCAGAAGAGAGAAGGAGGCGCTGATGTGGCAGATTTTTATTGGAGTATGCATGGGATTACTCACTGGATCTGCTCTCGATTAAACATAATTCATTTTAGTAAACCAGTGACCAAACTTGCAATTTACCGGCTTTATCCCGAAACAGCTGACAAACTAGGCTCTCTTTTTTGAGAACTATTTTTCTAAACGGATGTAATTTTGTGATAAAATAATTGTAGCAAAAGCCGACCATGCACAGGGTCTTTTATCACCACACCCAATTTTATTTTATTTTATTATTTATTTTTTTTAATGTTGGCCCCCGACACCTCCATTTATACCAAGTAATTTCCATGCAATCATTCTTGCAAACCCCTCCCGATTCTCTCTTTCTCTCGCTCGCTTTCTATGGCTGATTACAAGGAGCCGCTTCTTCCTCAGGTGACGGAGGGCCAATATGACCATGGCGACCAACTTCTTATTCCAAGGAACGGCGCCACAACTTCTTCCTTTGTCGGCGGCGCAGGTGACATTCCCCCGATCAGAAGCATCCGGGATTTCTGCAGAGAGTTCGTCGCCGAATCCGCCAAGCTCTGGTTCCTGACGGGCCCCGCCATCTTTACCTCCATCTGTCAGTACTCCCTCGGCGCAGTCACGCAAGTCTTCGCCGGCCACGTCGGCACCCTCGAGCTCGCCGCCGTCTCCATTGAAAACTCTGTCATCGCCGGCTTCTCCTTAGGCACCATGGTATTGTTATTGTATAGGATACGTATACTTTGCGCCAATTTGACAAAGACAACCTTTACGAATTTAAAAAAAAACATTTAGATTTTATATTTTCATAATTAGATCAACCTCGTATCCGTTGCTCTTGTTACGATTTTAAAGACATATTATCTTTCTTTTTTGTTTGAATAATTTGTATTTTCCTAAATATAATAGAAGTGTTCTTTCTGCCATCCGACGTAAGCTAACACGCATCTAATTAATACACTTCATATTAGTGAATCATGTAAATTTTTTTTATTATATTGTTTACTTTTTTACTTTGTCCATTTTCCGATCTGTTCCGACCAGTTCTAACTGTTACTGTTTGATTAATGATTTGTCTTTTTAATCCAGCTGGGCATGGGAAGCGCCTTGGAGACACTATGCGGGCAAGCCTACGGGGCAGGACAGCTGGACATGTTAGGAGTGTACATGCAGCGGTCGTGGGTCATCCTCCTTGCCACGTCATTACTCCTCAGCCTGATGTACATCTTTGCCGCCCCGTTCCTCCTCCTCATCGGCCAGACCGCGTCCATCTCACGTGCCGCAGGAGTGTTCGCCATATGGATGCTCCCGCAGCTCTTCGCCTACGCGATGAACTTCCCGATGGCCAAGTTCCTGCAGGCGCAGAGCAAGATGGCGGTTAGGGCCGGGATCGGCGGTGCCGCGCTGGCATTTCACGCCGCCTTCAGCTGGCTGCTGGTGCTGAAGCTGGGGTGGGGGCTGGGCGGTGCGGCGGTGGTGCTGAACGCGTCGTGGTGGTTCATCGTTGCGTCGCAGTTGGTGTACATCGTGGGCGGGAGGTGCGGGAGGGCTTGGAGTGGGTTCACGTGGCAGGCGTTCCACAATCTGTGGGGCTTCGTTAGATTGTCGCTTGCGTCGGCGGTCATGGTTTGGTAAGTCAACTACCGTTTCACTTTCAAATATGAACCGCATATTCGTGTTTGTTTTGCGATATTTATTGGTCGTGTAATTAAGAGATAGGAGGAATTAAAATGGGAGATAGGGCTGGTTGTCCCATCTCCCATTCATTCATTAATTAATCTGTACATATGGGTTGGTGGGTGGGTGGGTGTTTGGAATCATTAAGTCGAGTCTTCATATACATGTGGTTCAGGTTTCAGGGAGAAATTAAATAAGATATATGTATAGTACCCTTTTTGAGTTTGAGTACGACATATGCATGTAATTTGTAAATCCCCTTTTTTTCTGAAAAGCGGGAAAACGTGGGATACTGAAAAGTGTTCCAGCAAAATTATATGACTGGTAGTTGGTACTATATATATATTTACTCCCTTTTAAAATAAAGTTACTAAGGTGGATCAATGAATGAAAAGAAGAACCTGTACGTATCTCCAGAAAAAGAAGAATGATAATAATGTCAACAGAATCTAAACTAATTAATCATAAGTTTGAACGAGGAGGTGGTGCTTGCTTGCTGCTGTTGGTTGGTTGGTTGGTGACAATCGTTAAATCCTGTAGAGTACTTGACTACACTTGGATAAATTGACCGAAGATATAAAGGAAACCAAGAAATACTAGTACACTGTCTTGAAAAAACATTATACTTGGTAATAATGAAACGCAACCAATTATTAAAGAAGGACGGAGTAATTATTTGTGTGTTATTAAGTATAGATGGAGACAAGATCCAAACATTAATGACTGAGTACGTATATACGTCTGTTGGGTGCAGCTTGGAGATCTGGTACTTCATGGTATTGATACTGTTTGCTGGATACCTCAAGGATGCTGAAGTTGCTGTGGCTGCGTTGTCCATCTGGTATGTACCTCCAAAGATTCATTTTAATTGTTTAATATTAGAAAGGGACTGGAACTGGACTGATTATAGATTAGGGTTAGCGATCGATAATGACAAATGAAACGTGCATTCGTTTGGTAGCGGTATGGTAATTAATGACAGGGAATCATTTCCAGTACAGTGCCTCATAAGCTAGTCTCAGACAAAAACAAGCCGACCATAAAATCATGTGCAATCTGGGAAGAGGGATCGGATCACGTTTCGGCAAGCGACTGCTTGTGTAAAACTCCAATGATAATAACTAACCCGATCGGATTTTCAATAATCACTTGATCCTAATAATTCGAGTTGTTGAAAGAAGTTCAATCGTAAATCATATACCGTTTACTAACACACTCACTCAAACTCAAGCCACCTCCAACCACTCAGATAGGTTTGAAGTTTGCACAGGCACAGGTTCGGACACCATGTGCTAAACAGAAACAGATGTGGATCGTCGTGATTCGAACATGAGACCTTTCGGTCGCAAAAGAGATTGGAAGAATTTCAATCGTGAATCATACACCATTTACTAACACGGATTATGTACAACCATAAACATAATCAAGGTCCACTACAACAGAACTAGGTTTTAGCGTTTTTTTTTTAGGACTTAGCCAAGGTTTACGACCGAAAGTAAAATGTCTTCCGACGGTTGAAACTACCCGTTAAAAAATCTGTCGAACTAAATTATTTCATTGCGGTTACGACTGACGGTAATTAATAGTGGCGGTTATTAACAGACGGTGAAATGTAAGTTCCCGCTGTTTTGCTTAAAACGCTTTCATGGTTGGGTTTTAGGGATGGCAATTTCGACCTGACCCGATTTACCCGACCTGCTTGGCCTGTTTTGGAGCAAGTCAGACCCACCCCGTAGGCAGGGCGGGGCGGGCATGGGTATCTCTCATCGACTCGACCTACCCTGACCCGCCTCATTCTCGTTAAAATGCATTATTGCCTTTTTTACATAATTAATTTACTCATTGAACTTAAAAAATTAGAAACTTCGGTTTGAATTCTATTTTGAGTAATTCTAATTATCTAATATAATGGTTTATGTGTTTATAATAATGATAATATTAAATTAAAGTTTCTTTCTTAAATGATTTTCCTTTTTAATATTTTTCGATAGTACATTGTAAAATTTTGAACCCCCGTAGTAGAATTGAGTAGAGAAGTGGACCCTTCGACTTGCTGCAGAACTTCATTTGTGACTTCGAAGCAAAGGCTGAAAAGTGAAAAACCCCATAGCATGATATCACAATACCATCTCGCCGGGCGTTAGAGAGAGAGAAAAGTTAGAGAGAGAGAAAAGAGAGTAACGATTTTTCCCGCTCGATTGGCATTCGCCGTCGAGGGCTTCTGCAGCCCTAGCGGTCTGTCCTCGTCGTCTGGCCCCTGGCCGGCGGCGCTTTCTTCCGGCAACGCTCATCGTCGTCGGATCTCTTCTTCCCTTCTTTAGTTTCTCTGGATCGCGTCGGAGTTTCCATGGCGGAATCAGGCAAATCGTGGGCGGAGCTTTTCACTGTGGAAGAGAGTTGTCGACTTCATTACGAGGAGCCTGATTTGGTTGATGGAGCCCTGAGGTTGCCAAAAGATTTGCTGGACAAGGGAGCTGCTCGTTGGTGCAATTGTCTGGTAGGTCAGTTCATCTCTGCTCCACCATCTCTGGGAGTGATTCGAAGTTGGGCGAACAAGCTTTGGGGTAGAGAAGGGAAAATTAGGGTTTCCTGGTTTGGGGAAAAGCTGCTGGTTTTTCAATTCCCTACTACTTCGACTTGTGATTGGGTTTTTCGGGGTGGTCCATGGCATCTCTGGGGCAATAACCTGTTCCTGAGGAAGTGGGAGAAAGGAATACTGCCAATTGTTCCTGAGAAACCAGGGATACCAGTGTGGGTAAGTATTTCAGGGTTGCCAATGGAGTGTTTGTTACCTGAGTGTTTGAACAAGGTGGTGAGTATGATTGGGAGGCCGTTATGCACTCAGGTTACTAGAGTAATAGATCAGTTGGGAGTCGCAAAATGTTGTGTGGAGATCACTGTGGAATCGAAGTGTCCAAAGGAGCTAAGGTTTGTACCTGATGAAGGTGCTCCTTTCTCAGCTACTGTGAACTACTTCAAGTTACCCCCTGTTTGTTTAAAGTGTCAAAAGTTTGGCCATGATTGTAGTAAGGAGGACTCAGAAGTACGAAGGGTGTGGGTGCCTAAGGCGAAGAAAGCTCATCCTCTAGATACAGAGAAGAATCTTGAGGTGCAGAAGGAGAATGTGGTTCAGCAGGATAGCCAGGCCATGGGCAGGGAAGCCATAAGTTTTGGAACAGTGATGCAAGAAGCAAATTTGGTGGTAGCAGAAGATGCCACTGAGGGAGGTATACTGACATCTTTACCTGTGCAGAAGCAAGTGAGGGATCAGTTGCCATCAGAAGAGGAATTCCAGGAGGTTATTCAAGGGAGGAAAAGTATGAGTCCAGCAACGGCTGCGAGACTATCTAAGGGAAAAGCAGTGGTTGTTTCTTTCTCAGGGGATGGAGGAAATGTTGAGCTAGCTGGGGGTACTTCTCTGGTTAGTTATGACTACATCACTAGTGGAAGAGGCAAGAAAGCAGGGTGGGGGGGGCGGTCTTCCAAGCAGAAATGATCATTTCTTCATGGAACATGAGAGGCTTCAATAGGGCCTCCAAGCATGGGTTTATTAGTAAGTACATAAAGACCAAGAAAATTGATATACTAGCTATACTAGAAACAAGAGTACAAAAAAGTAAAATGGGTAAAATTTGCACTGATTACTTTTCAGAGTGGGGGTGTTTGGAGAATTATGCAAAATCTTCCAATGGGAGGATATGGATATTCTTCAGGAAGGATCTGGTTGTTACAGCAGAGAAAATAGAGGAAACTTTATGCATTTAAAAGTCAGGGGAGGAGTGGATTGTCAGGTTACCATGGTGTATGGGTCAAATGATGAGTTGGTAAGGCGTCAGACTTATATGCAAATGAGGTCTATTCAGACAGGTAGTGAGCCATGGGTAGTTCTGGGAGACTTTAATGCTATCTTAGTTGCCTCAGATGCTTCAAATGGAACTCCTCCAGGATCAAGTGGGAAGGATTTCCAGGATTGGGTGGATGATATGCAGCTGGAAGAGCATAAAGTTGTTGGTGAGTGTTTTACTTGGGTGAACAAGCAATCTAGAAACCCTATAGCTAGAAAATTAGACAGAATTCTAATGAATAGTTACTGGTTGGCTGCTTTCCCGGGGAGTATAGCAAGTACTGAGTTTCCAGGGGTGCATTCTGACCACTGTGGATTACTCTTGAATTCTTCTCCAAATCAGAAGACCTTACCTAGGCCATTTAAATTTTTTAACTTCTGGTGTGATCACCCGAAGTTCCAAGAGTTGTTGCAGGATGTATGGAGTACAAGAGTAACTGGCTATCCATTCTTTAAGGTGTGTCATAAGTTGAGGTTACTAAAGAAGAAGCTAAAGGAGTTTAACAAAGAATTCTACTCAGACATTTCTTTGCGTACAAGACAAGCAGAAGAAGCTTTGAAAGTTCTCCAGCAACAGGTTTATTGTGATCCTTCCTCACAGTTAATTGAAGCAGAGGCACAAGCAGTGGCTGAGTGTGTTATGTTTCAGAAAGCAGAAGAGGGCTTCTTTAAGCAAAAAGCAAGAGTGCAAGCTATAACAGAAGGAGATCAGAATACAGCATTCTTTCACCAATCACTAAGGGTAAGGCAGCACAGGAATCAAATCTCCCTCCTTAAGAAAGAAGATGGCAGTATAGTTACTGATGTGGAGGAAATTGGCAAGGTGGCAGTAGAATTTTACAAGAAGCTGTTAGGGGAGAAAAACCAGGATGTGGTGTGTATTTCAGTAGAGGAAATGGAGGAATTGCTGGTTCACAAAGTTAGCTTTGGGGATACTGAGCACCTTTGTGGTGCTGTTACTAAGGAAGAAATAAAGGCTGCGTTATTTGAAATGGGGACTAATAAGTCCCCTGGTCCAGATGGATATACAGTAGAGTTTTACAAGGCAGCTTGGTCAGTTGTAGGTGAAGATATAACTAGTGCAATTAGCTCATTCTTCCAAACAGGATTCCTTCCTAGAGAAATTAACTCAACAGTGTTAGCTTTGCTTCCAAAAGTGGTGGGGGCTGATCAGATGAAACAGTTTCGCCCTATCTCATGTTGCAATGTGCTATACAAGTGCATTGCAAAAATCCTAGCCAATAGACTGTCTACTGTCCTCCCCCAGCTAATCAGCAAGAATCAATCAGCATTTGTGAAAGGTAGAAGTATCAGTGACAATATACTGATGGCTTCAGAGCTGGTTGCAGGGTATAACAGGAAACAAATCTCCCCTAGATGCACTATGAAGATAGATCTAATGAAGGCATTCGATTCAATTGATTGGAATTTTTTGCTCATAGTAATGAAAGCAATGGGTCTTCCAGCACAGTTTGTATCCTGGATTGAGGTATGTATCACTTCCCCCATGTTGAGTGTTGGTGTGAATGGTGGAGTTTGTGGTTATTTTCCCTCTAAAAAAGGCCTGCGTCAGGGAGACCCCTTGTCTCCCTTCCTTTTTTCAATTGCAATGGAAGTCCTATCATGTATTCTGAATAAGGGAGCAGTTTCAGGAGAATTTCCTTACCATCCTAGGTGTAAGAGATTAGGCATCACTCACCTAGTGTTTGCTGATGACCTATTGCTCTTCTCTAATGGTTCAACTAAGGCAGTGGAGAGTGTGAAATGCCTATTGGACAGGTTTTACAGGTTATCAGGTCTGAGATTTAACCCAGAGAAGAGTCAATTATTTTGTGCTGGGGTTGCAGAAGGGGATCATGAAAGGTTAGCTCAGATGGCTGGTTTTCAAAAAGCAGAACTACCTGTTCGATACCTAGGAGTACCTCTAATAGCAGGAAAACTGACTAAAGGGGATTGTAGGGTGTTAGTAGAAAAAATTACAAAGAGAATTGCTGGATGGAAGCCAAAATTGCTTAGTTATGCTGGGAAGTTACAGCTCATAAACTCAGTGTTGAGTAGTCTGTCCTTTTATTGGATGAATGTGTTTCTTTTGCCAAT